GCCGCCGGCGCAGCCGGCCTTCGATCCCGCGACCTGCGGGTCAGCAGCCGAGTACATCTAGACCACCACGGCGGGGCTAGCAGCAAGATACAACGTGAGGAGTGATTGAGAAAAATTGGAGAGAAACGTTGGGCTAAGAAAGTTTTCAATTACTTGTACATGAAGAATGTCCATACGAAATGGAGGAAACGAACTCTAAAATCGCCAAGCAAGTGTTTAGACAACAGCAAAATGCCAAGCCAAAAGAAAACATTGGTTAAGAAGTGAAGAAAACAAAGAGCGGCTTGTGGAATATGTGATTGCTTGCAAAATCATCACTGGATGCCTACCAAACTTTTAAGAATAAATATGCAAGGGAAGCGATCTACGATAATTCTCGAGGTATTTCTCTGCTCTTCGAGTCTGGAACAAGAGTATTGCGCACCAAGACGTACCGAGCAAAATACGAAAGCACAGGCACGGTATGTAAACGTGCGGAGAGAAGAAAGATAAGGCTGAACATTTGATAATGATCTCTGAAGGGCTCCACTTTGTAGCCGAAGATAATGGCGTCGAAGTTTTCAAAGCATTGAGGTTTAGTGACAGTGAAGGTAAAATAGACTTCAAACGGGTAGAAATAAACAGGAGGAGGCTATCTGAGTCTTAGCTCTAATCGAGGCGCGAGTGAAATTCAATCCTTAAACACGCAGTGATAGTACTTAACTTCGTGGCTAGGTGGCGTGAGCTACCACCCGATCTAAAAGGCGCAGCCAGATACAACCACCCATCTATCCAGCGGTGCAGAAGAGGCGCTGCCCTCGAGCTGAGCCGCAGACGGGGAGGGGACTCTGTTCGTCGTTGCCAACGGGACGGATGCACGTTTCGCCTCGTTCGCGGGTCCGCTCGCCAATTCACTCCGTGCAGGACCTATAGAGGGCGCCTTGAAAAACGCACACAGTGCCACTTGAGGTGCGGCGAGCGTGAAACGGTGAGACCCTTAGTAGACGAGTGTCTCACTGCTTTCACAGCTATGGCGGCCCAAGCACCCGTGGCTGGCACGTTAGTGCTTCGAGCAGTCTTTAGAGATATTGTTGGGGGATCGTTTTTCCACGATGCCACTATTAAAAAAGGGGAAAGCCTGCACGAGAGCCGCCACGTTTTTGACGTGAATGAACGCTTTGACACGGCGTCGTCAGTACTAACGGCTAAACGCGTTCGTCAGGTGTGTATCACCGAAGAGGCTTACTCCATAGCTATCAAGGTAACCTCTCGTTCTTTCATGCTTAGATTACTATTCATGCATGCCCACTACCCGTGTATTTGCAAAATGCTCAGAACAATTACAATAATCGACGGCTTCACGGTCCCTCACTATGGATACTTCGTCGAGTGGCCAGGCGGCATGGTTATTTTTTGCGGCTTCGTGTCATGTCGTTTCGCAGCCACCGAGTATTTTGCTTGAAATTGCCGCTTGTAGCAACGATGTAGCCTCATCGCTCATAATGATCGCTTTTACCTCGCCACTCGCGCAGCCCATGCCATTTGGAAGATGATTTGGCCAATCTAGAAACATCCATTGTGATAGCGACTGACGCTTTGGTTTATGGAGAGAAGGCTGGTGTAGGAATCGTATTATCCTCTCTAGATATGGCTTTCTCAATTCGATTACCCGACTTTACACCTATTTCCCAAGCTGAACTACTGGCGATAGTCCTTGCATTGCGTAAAGTGCCGCAAGATCTATCAGCGGTGATTGTTATAAGAGACTGTCTCTCGGTCTGTACTGCCTTAAGCTCACCAACTTTTTCGCGTACCTTAGAAACTTTCTACTCGCTCATTCCTACACATGTGCGACTCGTCCGACTAGTTTAAGTACAAGGCCATAGAGGTTTAGCTCTGAATGAGAATGCAAATGCACTAGCTGTATCTTCCCTTGATTGTCCTGTTTTACCTATTTTGCCTACTTCTGAATATATCACAGCAGCACGCTTTGAATAACGCATAACGGCCAATAACTTTGAAAAATCCCCTTTGTTTTTATCAGACTTCACAGAGCTAAAGTTTCCTTGGAAGAACAAGTGGTGTTCATCAAGGAACGAAGAAATAGTAATTACCAGACTGCGTTGTCGAGTCCCCTCAATGAACTTTTACCTTCACAGGTCGGGTCTGGCACACTCGCCTTTGTGCCTTTATTGTAATTAGAGGGAATCTTTGGAGCACTTCTTTTTGTCATGCCGAAAATTGAAAACTCAAAAGGAAAATCTACTAGAAGAACCCGTACGAAAGTTGGGCTTAAACTTGACACTTCTGGTGATACTTTCATTTGGCACAGTCGCATTTCGATTCAGCCACAGGAACGTTTTTACCGCTGTTACAAATTTCTTACGACAATCTAAAATAATTGAATGCTAAAAATACGTAACTTCAGTTGATTTATGTATAATATTTTTATTTTTTGTATGTTTCTATGTTTTCTTGTCAATGTTGTTTTTTGAAATTCAGCACCTTTTTATTATTTCCTATAATACCTAACTTATCCAACCCTCCCTTTCAAGAAGTGAATCAATTTAAAAAGCAAGACACCGTCCTATTCACGGCCTATCCCCCTAGGTGGGTTGCGCCAAGGTGTTGAGGAACCAACCAACCAACCATGCCAAGAACTTTACGCGCGGGCGAGAAATAAACGTGTTACGATCGGCCCCTCTTCGTCATTCCTTTCCACTGATGTGGCGCAGACGACGACGTCAGAATGGTGACTTCGACTGCCATCAGTCTTGCTCATTCGCTATAACCTCTTTTGTTGTTTATGCTGCTCTTGAAAAGAAACATTGCACTTCCGTCGCAAGAGAAGTTCGCAAAAGTTCGTTTTTTTTTCGTGGATACTTTGCAGTTTTGTTACAGTGCGTCGTAGAATGATCCTGCCGAGTGCGCGAAGCGGTGCCGGGCCGCTAACACATAACTCAGTTCACCGCTAATTAGTGCCCTAACAAATTAACCCGGCAAATTACTGACCTAGCATTGTACTGCTCAAATTAGTGAACTGTCGATGACGAGTTTATGAGTTTCAATAAAACCTTTCATCAATATTGAGCCGCATTAAAATATCTTGCGTATGTTTCTTTTCTCTTCGTTTTGATGCCACTAGGAACATCACACAAGCTCACTGCAACTGACGAGGTGGAATCTCAGGCCGCTTCAATCATGCAGTGGCTGTGGTCGTGTACGTCAATAACGAGGACACCTCGACAAAGACATCCTTCGAGAACGTGTGGAAGAGGCCATCTGCGAAGCATCTAGGAATTTACAACAAGAAAGTCTTGTTCTCCGAGATGTACCCTCCTAAACCCCCATACGAGAAGCTGGCGAGGCAACCCGTGCCCACAGCCGTCATCAATTCAAACTGTCCCTTGGGCATCATGCTCACCAAAGAGCAAGCCATTGCTGAAAACCTTCCTTATTTGTACGAGGTCGTAAAGGGTGCTTACCAGCACAAACGACAGGGCAGGAGGGGACAGGAAAAGAGACGAGCAACAATAGAGTGTTCAATTGTTGCTAGATGCAGGGATCGTACCACACGCGGGATCATAGAGGCAGAAAAGATTTGCTCATTGAAAGTTGCTTTTGTTAGCACCCCTTCTGTCACGCTCACCGATAAGGAAAAGTTGTTTCTTTGCTTGTCAATGTGATGTACTTGTGCATTGACATTTTTTTTCGCGCATGACTAGTGCGTCTAACAACTGTATAAAAAGTGAATACCTGCACAAGAAATGAATTGTTGGCAGTTCAGCGCTCTGTCTCGACTCTTCTTCTGTCCTCTCCTGCCCTGTCGTTTGCGCTGGTAAGCACCCTTTATGGTGTTATACCAAGACGCCCAATCCCACTGTTTCTTGTACAAGGTCCTCGGACGGCTAGGACAGCCGTGCAATATATTTGGAGCACAAAGCATTCCAGTCGGAGAAGTAAGCGATGACTCTATTTTTGCGGTCGTTGTCACTGAGGAAGAATGCAACGACATCGCTAAGCAAAGAATTCTTCGATGTGTATACCCACAGTGGCACAGTGCATGGGCTCTGAGAATTTCTGCCAGCTACAAAGCTCACCATATCAAGATACGTCATGCGGACTTCGAGAGCTTGGCACAACACTTTGTTACACTGCGATCCTTCAAAAGCACTGCATGTGCATATGGCATATCAAAGGAACCTGTTGCACGAAAAGAAAACGAACCCACAACGGGTCGAAAAGTGATTCAAAGTGATTCAAAGCTTGTGTGAATAGCGTTTTTTGTATTTGGTATGTGCTATAACGCTAAATCGTTTTCGTTGCTGTAAGCTCCAAGTATGAGAATTCAGGTGCTGAGTTCTTAGTCAGGCAGAGGACATCTGCTTTTTATTGCCTGAAATAAAGAGCTGCAGGAAAAGCCAGCCACTTCTGCAACTTTATCGATACATTCTGTTCGGCCTCATATACAATTCAGTGTTCTGCCTCGACACTTTAATGCTTGCACAATATTCGCACAAGTGCAATGGGAAGAAGGGGGACTATGAAAACTACAGGTCTTCCTGTTAATTTCAATGCAACTGCCAGCTAAATAAACTAGAATGTCACAGAAGTAATTAGAGCGTCAAACTATTTAGAAAAACCTTCAACTTTAGCACTAATTTGTTCCAAGGACCAGCACGAGTAGGCCGTGTGACAGTGAGTTTAATCAAAGTTTCACCATGCTTAATTCAACTGCCATAAGCTTTTACACAATTTTCTTTCTTTATTACAAGTGCCAGTCACCTCAATCTATACGCAAGACGACAAGATGGGCACGAAAACAGGACTGCTATAAAAATGCTGTAAAGCTGTTGTATAAACATTGCATAAAGACCCATGATAATCCAAAAGTAGACAACAGCACAAATATGTACAGTCATTGCTATGACTAATAAAATGAATCATGGTCATAATTTGATTCCGTTGCTCTTGGAGGGCTCATGCTCTGCTAAACACAAATTTGTAGATTACAGGAGTCATTACACAGTCTTGAATACCGGTCCTTGAGTGTTGGCTAACACACTGCACAGATGTACTGCCTCGTCAATGTGACACTTAAGTTCCAGAGTTAGCCTTTTACTCAATATTGGAAAACTCTTTATACGCTGAATGCATCTCTCTGCATGAGTGCGATTAGATGCAACCTTATAAGTTTTTTGCATCTCCGCCTTTGTGAACTGTTGGTTGGCTTTTGCAAATGGTGGCATGACAAGTGTCAGGTCCTTACTTTCCAAGTCACACTTGACACGCGGGAAGCCTTTGTCCGCCGTCACCATATCCGCGGGTTCTAACAAGCTGATCAACCCAGAGTTCACAAGATAGCATGTGTCGCTCGACCTGCCCCAATACACATCCGAAATATATGTTATATAACCGGATGGAGACATCCCAACTAGGAATTTCAGAGTAAAGTCACTATTGTAGTTACTCCAGCTGTTAACCCTGTTAGCGACTTTAACTGGTATCTCTATTCTCCCTTCTGAACAGTCGACAATAACTCTGCAATTTGGATAGCACACGCAGAAAGAGGGAGGCATTGTGGCTTGGACAAGATCCCTTGAAAACCACTTGATACACTTTTGAGTAGCGACATACAGGACATTCAAAGTGGCAGAAAAAATCCGCGACGAACTAGTGCGGTGAATGCCAAAGAGAACTCCTAACGCAGACAACGTGAGGCCGTGCTTCATATTCATAAGACACAACAGGAGCTTCCAGCCCACTGCAAGGTCCAAATACTTCTCACGCCATACCTGTAAAGAGCTATTTTGAGGGAACGAGGTTTGTAGTACAGATAACATAAAACAATTTTTGCTCTCGTGAATCTAGAATCTTCCACAATCTTGCAAAAGCGTCCAGCCAACTTGCTGTTGTAAGATTAAAAGTGCAGTGTTGTGTCTCACACGAAAACGTTTAAGTCATTCAATGCCAGATGCCAGAAGTTTTGGCAACAGTCCCAAGTGTGCTTGAAAAAAATTTACTGATAGAATACAGTTATTCACAAGAATAATTGGAGAGAAATTTAGTAACATAGAAAGTTTTCGAAATTTCCCAGATATCATTTGGACGTTGTATGTCCGGAAACGTATTCTCAGAGTATTTTTTCTTGTTGAAACAGCAAAATTAGTTTACACATTAGGCGAAGCCTTTTGTTCGAGATGTTTGAAGCTCAATAGTATTACTGCAATTTTTCTGCTGCATGTTATACGCTTCCAGGAATATCGCCAAAATGTATGCAGGTTTCGCCAACATATATTCTTATTATGTAGACTAAACTTGCTATAAAATCAGAAACGGTTCTTGTAAAATAATTTTTCTTGCAAAAAACACCAAGATGACGATCTAGGAAATTCTGAGTGCTCCCACTTCACCAAAAAAATTTTTCTCAAAAACATTCTAGACGCTCACTGTTTTCAACACAATAAATTGGCGCTTGAGAAATTGGTGCTTAAGTACCATGATACAAAAAGATTATCCGCATTACTAACCTTAAATATTATCAAACCATGAACAAAGTTCATTGTTTGAGTTGTGGTTGACACATCACTTGGCGTCGAACATACCAGTAATTACCAGATACATTGTGTACTAGTGCGTGTGAAAACAAGGGGAAATACCACCATATTGCAATACCGTAGACCTGGCACAATGAATTGGAAACAAATCCCTATTATAATCACCATTTTCTATTCATCGGTGCAGTTAAATATTTCACAACAAAAAAGCAAGAAGTGTTTGGAGGCAGCGATGGTGGGTCTGCAGTGTCTCAACCGTCTGCGTTTAGACCTGCAAAAAAGAGATGTGTTACAATTTTCAGATAACATAACAAGGTGTTTTCTAGCTTAATTTACACTACAACACCATTTGTATAACACATCAAAGATCCCTAAACAGGCAAACAAAGCAAATTGATGTCCCATGGTTTTTATACAACCACAGAGCACTCGGTATACTTGGGGTAAGGAACGGTTCTTGTGGAAAATAAAAACAACCATCACAGATTTTTAGCAGGGGGAAAATTGACAGCCATAATTACAATATACAAGACTGTTCACTGCCTGAAGAATCAAGCAGCACCTGACTGTGCAATCCTCTTTCATACCGCAATTTGCTACGCCTGAGCTGTTTCACCTCAATCATCTCCAGTCGTTTTATTACCAATACGACTGTACTTGCTTCTCTGTTCCAGATTGCAATTCAGCGCACCATTGTTTGTTGAGTTTCAGGGGATCCACTTTTTAAAGCAGGCTGCAAAGGCTACTTCACACATTAGTGTATCGCTGATTGCCTTGTGCTAGAGAAATAGCGATGCATTAAAACGCAGTCACTCACACTCATTAAAAAAAACAATGCAATATGCAATGGCAAGCAACGTTGCCAGGAGCAAGCTCTATGCCTTTTGCCACTGCTTCCTCCTACAAATCTTGAAAAATGGCAAAAGTTTAGCATGGACCACAGTCCTCATTGACCACGTGTGACGTACTTCATATGCTGCAAGGACTATTTTACTACATTTGGGGCTACATTACTCAATAAAGTAACGAGAATCTGGGAACTTGTAGCAGTTCAGACCATTGTGATGTAGTTGTCGCTGAGTTCCCATTAAAAGTAAATCTCCAGCAAAAGGCTCTGCTTTTTGCTATCTATTGGCTATACGCGAGGAGTCGCATGCTAACATAGACGAACTTGCACTCAGCACCCTGATGAACCGTTACTGTGGCAAGTTGATGTCACACAGTGAAGTGAAATGCACAATTGCAAATTAGTTTTATTGCTATGTGCGCTGCTCACGAATTATGTGATCCTGCGTTTACATTGTTGCTAATGCCTGTGACATCAGAGATCTACTTGTTTTTTTTGGTACTTGTCTTCCCCAATAAATGTTGTTTCAATTATTTATTGCTGCATTGTTTGTCATCTGTGATCATATGTTCGTTCTGCTCTTAACCTTTTCAAACCTAATTACCAACTCTGCAATTTCGATAATCTCCAAATTTTGAATGGGCACTTGCTTTGTGCCTGGAAGTATTACAACAACACTAATTTCAATGCCTTGCAGCTGTTTGGATTCATTATTTAAATCAGTGTCTTCAGGTTCCTCCCTCATCGGTGCTGAAGATGCTGATGAATCCATGGTGTCTGTAGTTGGTGCAGCTTGCAACACATGCCGCGAAGATTCGGCGAGATTGGCAACAGCTGTAATAGCTGTCCTCTTTGTAATCTTGAAGCAAAAAATGTGTGCTGTAGCATATTTAATTATGAATTCAGTGCAAGTTAGAAATTAGTGAAAAAAAACAGAGCGAAGAGGAGGGACGAGAATGACTGCACTTTTTTAACAGTTTAAGTACTGTTTCGTTCGAGATGACATAACACGAACAGACTGAGTTGCAGCAGTAGCACTGCTTCATATTAGAGCAACCTCCTTAACTTGTTTGCAGCCAATATGTGTCACTGATCTGCTTCTCCTTGTCTCACTCCCCGTGAGGCTCCAGAGTAACAACAAAATAAGAATTGCAACGACGGCCAGATCTAAGATGAAAATAAGCAGCCTTGATTTTAATTCCGTGTGCGCAATTGTCTACATGCTCCACGGTTTGCTAGTTTCAACGACATCGAATTATAACAGGGCAGCTGTTTACTACACCAACAGCCAAATGCGCTTGTGCACTTGGCTTTCACGTAAGTGCGAGCTCAAAACGCTTTTATGATTTGCGCAAACTCTAATGTCACCCAAGCTACGCTCTAACGCAGAGGTGCGCAAATATTTTTGGAACCAAGGCATTGGACTGAGCTTGTTGGTACATAGTCATAATCGATTAAAAAAATCACCGGTAAACAAAGGCACAGTGAATGTCCCGTCGTTTTCTCTTGCAGTGTCCTGTGTTTACCAGTGTTGTTTGTTTTTAAATCGACTTTTTTAAATTTCCAGAAACACGAGCTCTCGATGCTTCCGAGTGCCGTAGGCCTACTCCAGCCATAGTCTTTCTCCTTTAATCCTATGATCTTGTGGAAGAGCCGCGACCATTCGATATTTTTATCGCTCAGCATCTCGGGGGAAGGGAATCAACTTCCAGTTAGCATATCTCTACTTGATCAGCTGCGCTTCCGCCAGCACTAAAATTATGACTGCAGGAAGAGCGCGAACGCAAAGCACGGGACGTAGAACAAACGCATACGACGACGCGAGCGCTGACTATGAATTGTTTTTTTCCTGCGTTTGTGACATAACGCGAAATACACAGTTGATAGTCAGCGCTCGTGTCATTGTATGCGTTACTTCTTCGTCCCGTGCTTACCAATCACGCTGCTCATGCAGTCTTTATTCACCAACTTGTCTAGCAAGCTTCCCTTCTAAAACACAATTGGTCACACGAGCCGCCGAGCACACCAACATGGCGGAATATTGACTAAATGGTCGTAAAAAAACTAATGGCATATCATAACTTGACTAGCTGACAGCCAGATAAAAATAAAGAAAGTTGATTTTGCGCAGTTCTCACCTGCATAGCGTCCAAGCGTATCTCCTGTGAGCACGGACAGTTTACGATACTCGTCGGGAAATAGTGTTGGCACGTCCGACGTGGATGGCTCATCATTGGACGGCGCTCCTCCAACGAAATGTGCACTGCATATGCTCGAGTGCTGTGAGGGCTCCCAGTTTGTTCTGACAGCGCTGAAATGTATACAAATGCTAGCAGTACAAGAAAAACAAAACCGCAGAGCGCGAGACGGCAAACGAAGCGGGAACGAAGCTTACTTTATCGTCGCACAGCCGCAATCCACTTCTGCCGCTGCCCAATAAAGCAAAGAAGAGTAGAGAAACGGTGAAACGTCGTTCCCGCAGAGCACGACATGTACCTGCTCGTACAACCAACCTCGCAGCAGTTCATGACAGCGTCATGGAACACCTACAATTCCATGCAAGCCACGGAGAAAGTGGTGCTAGCGGGTAGGGAAAGCGTTCGCTTCTGCTTCAGTGTACTAGAACGGCTTCTTCTAGTACAATCTACTTCTGCTCTGACTCTCACAGACTGCCTTCTCAGACGGCCACGCGGTGGCGCACCAGTCGCAACGAACGGAGTGTATAGGTAGAGTGTACTAGAAGTGTTGAGTGGCGTGACCACGCCTCGCCGCCTAGTCGCTTCAGCGTTGCCCGCAGCGGCGCCGCTGCAGTAGAATAGTGCTGAAGGAGCCGTGCGCCGTGAGCAGGAACTGCTATGCGCTTCGGCTCCGTCTTCGCGCTATCTTGATCCAGATGTCTTCGTACCTGCCCATCATTCATGTCTAGCACAAGATGCCATCATTCTTCATGTATGACACGGCAACCTACTGAATTTCAGCTCCATAAAGCCCTTGTGAGATATCGAAAATATTTCAGAAAGGGTGTGTTTTACACTGATTTCTTTTTTCTTAACTCTTTCTTCGTTGGTTAGGTGTCTACAATATTCAGAATAACTGAGCCAATTTTTTGGAAATTAGCTGTGCTCAGAAAGCTGTGAGATTAAATAACAAGAACTGTTTCATACGAATGCAGAGCCAGAAAGCCATAAGTAAAGAGGGGAGATGAAGAGAATCTGAATATGTACACCAAGAAATGTTTTCGTAATTTAACTTTTCAGGGTATACTAAATTATTTACCTGCATTCACAGCGACCACCAAGGCGAACGTTAGGCATTCTGCTGCACATTCCACGCCCGCAAAAAAAAAAGAAATCTGCCATGGGTAATCCTGCGCCAATAACTTACAGTTGGTGAAGCTGAATATAGGGTGTGTCTGCAAATGCGTGCAAAAGAGTGACCAGCTCGAGGCAGCCAGTGCCGTCCACCAGAAACTTTGCCGCCAGCTCCGCGCACGCGCAGTCATGGCCAAGTGTCATGAACCAGAAAGACGCTGGCGCTTCGGCGTGCGGATAGCTGGAGCAAGGAGGAGGCAGACGAAGTAGAGAATAAGAAGAGCTGGCCCAGGATCGGGTGTTGTCTCTTGTTCTCTGTCTCGCTCATCACAATGGCGCAGTCGGCGAAGAATAAGTCTTACGCCCCGGCTTCGTCATCCAGGACAGCCGTGATAAGCGCCGCTTGAGGACGGCGTCAAGGCCTCTTCGGCAGCTGTTAACCTGCCACTGCCACCACCGTTCGGGGACCGCATCAAAGGCCTCCTCGGCAGCTGCAGTACACGTTAGCGGTACCATTTCACAAGGGACGCCGTCCACGCGTCTTTGGCTATGGATTCTGCCATCAGCGCCAGCCGACAAATGAACCCTCTGCGGGAAGCCACCGGTACGTGTCTTCGTGGTTTGTCGGCAGTGCGGGCTTCTCCATCTAGGAGCGCCATTCACGCTTCTTTGGCGATGAAGTCAACAACACGGCCGCGGCTTCAGCTGCCCATCGGACCATCAGTGGACAGTGTCCATGCCTCCTCTGTGGTACCAGGGCATCACCCAATGGACACTATGCTACCACTTCTTGGCCGTAATAAGCACCGGCTCCTGTCCTTTGGGAATGCCGCTCACGCTTCCCATGGCCTACATCCCCGTTGCCGCACTCTTTCAACATACGAGCGGCCAGGGAACGCCATCCAGGCTTCTCTGCTCGTCAACCACACCAGCGTGAGGGCTGCGACCGCTACTCATTCGAAGACCGCGATCACCAACGCTTCGGACTTCACACACGACAGCGCCGCAAACCTGCGGCGTACCATCGCGCTACTCCGCGTCAAGACTGACGAACTGACAGCGTCAATATCCGAGCGAGCTCCTACAATGTTGCCAGAATTGCGTGCCACTAACGCCGTGTTGGACGTAGCTGCCTCGCATGACCTTGAGGCAAGCCCATTGAAGCAACGCAGGCTGCTTTGGGGCACCCCCCTGCAGCTCTCAGACCAGCTCGACGGCATTGCCTCAGTGATATCCGCATTCTCACGTGCCGACCCACCATCGTCGTCCACCTACGAAATGCCGCAATTCGACGGGGTCTGGAACGACGCCGACAGCTTGGTGGCAACCGTGAACGCGCTAGCAATGCGCGAGTCCTGGGCAAAATCTCAGAAATGGACCATGGCTGTAGACCTTCTTCGGGAAGGTGCAGTATCGTGGCACCGGTATGAAGGCTGGAAGCAGCAGTCATGGGCGGAGTGGAGCTGCAAGCTCATAGCTGCTTTTGGTCGTAATCCTTACCACCTCTCCACCACCACCCCGTCCAACCTGGTCGGTATCGAGGAGGAAGCTCCTGACGCTTTCCACCTCGAGGCTGCAGCTGTGCGCTGCAGCTTACCGCACGAGAAGTTCCCGAAGCAAGTTCACTGTGGCCAGAGGTCACTACCCGAAGCAAGTTCACTGCGGCCAGAGGCCGCTACCGAATTCGGACATCTTGAAGTGTGTTGCTCCAACGAAACAGCCGCAGAGAATCATCTCGACTGTGCTGCATTTCCCTTCACCGACGCAACCCCATTCGCACATCGAGCTGAAGTGGAGCAACACCCCGAAGGTTCGTCGGAGCCCTCCAGCTGCGCGGAACAAAGCTTCTCCTCCACCTGTCCTACTAATGACGTCAGACGCAGGTGCGACATGCCACTGCTGCTCTCAGTACTCGCGCCGGTACACGATGTCATCATGTCAGTGGAAGAGGCTGATACCAGTCCTCATGCAGTTCAGTTGGAGAAGCCAGCCCCAATATCATCTTTACTGAGGCAAGTGGAGACACCAGCATCGCCTATGCTTGAACCGCCTACGGTAATGGCGCCGGTAGAGCCCAAGGTATCCACTGCCAGTGTCACCGACCAAGATCACGAGGAGAAAGTTGAGCTCAAGATGCAGACAGCAACCAGTCTCGACCTCCCGATAGACTTGTGGAAGACTCTGGCACCCAGTTTCTGCGTGGCCAAGGCTGACCTCCGAGATTCAGCCACTATATCAACCGCCAGATTTACATTTGACAGATACCGGGACCAAATCGCGGCCGAGAGCGTCGGCCGCAACGGGGCAGCCAGCGCCGGCCGCCTGAGTCCACAGCACTTTTTCAAAAGACATCGTGGCGTGCAAAAGAGTGACCAGCTCGAGGCAGCCAGTGCCGTCCACCAGAAACTTTGCCGCCAGCTCCGCGCACGCGCAGTCATGGCCAAGTGTCATGAACCAGAAAGACGCTGGCGCTTCGGCGCGCGGATAGCTAGAGCAAGGAGGAGGCAGACGAAGTAGAGAATAAGAACAGCTGGCCGAGGATCGGGTGTTGTCTCTTGTTTTCTGTCTCGCTTATTACAATTTATATATATATATAAATATATATAAATAAATAAATATATATATATATATATATATATATATATATATGGTCCAGTAGATCCTCCATGAGCGGTCACAACGTGGTTTTATTTCGACGTTTCGGCCTAGAGTCTGGCCTTCATCAGGATTAAAGATACAGTTTGTTGGTGCTCAGCTTTATACAATTTCAAATCAGAGGGCATGGAAAAAGGAAAAAGGACAGAAAAGAAAAAAAGAGAAAAAGAAAAGAAAAAGAAATAAAGAGAGGAAGAAGAAGAAGAGCAAAATAATATAGGGTGGACTCCCCTCGGGTGCCACCCCCCCTTCCACTCTTCCTTCCACTTCCCCCCTTCACTCTTCCCTCCACTTCTCCCTTCTCCCCTTCACCTTTCTGATGTCAGCGGTGTGTGTATGTTTCCTTTCACTAACGCATTCCTCCCGATCAGACGGCGCCTCCTGGCACTGGCAGTTCGGTGTGGGGCAAAAAAGAACTTTTTTAGGTAGTCCTAAGCCTTTAACTACTCTTTTTTAGGAAGTCCTAAGCCTTTAACTACTCTGAGTCCCACAAACAATTCGTCGTAGAAGGAGGGGTGCCGCGTATTGTGGCAGAGGCTGGTAAGCGGGCATTTTAGGAAGTTCTAAGCCTTTAACTACTCTCCGCCCTGTCAACATTTCGTCGTAAAAAGAGGGGTGCCCCGTATTGCGGCAGAGGCTGGCGAGCAGGCGCAATGCGAATTTATTGCCCGTTTCTGGATTATGCGTGTAGTGGGGGCCTCACGGCTGTGCATAGGGTTGCTTTTGGGCATGTCATGCATGGCACAATTGATTGGGTAGTAAAATAAAACAGAAAGCAGACAACATCTGCACTTAGGAAGAATAGTTACACTTGGAATTGTTTTGTGTTGTCCAGTGCCCTTCGCAGCTGCAGTGCCGTGAACTCAGTTACTATTTTCATTTTTGCCGTTATTGTTTTCTAATGCTTTAATTGCTGCAAGTGTACCAGGATTCTCATTTATTCCTGTATCGAGGGTGTAAAATCGGTGGATAAGGTATGACTCTCGTTGTTCACGTTCTCGATTTGATTTAAATCCCGTCTCTAAGAGCGTTACTGATAGTTTGTCGAATGCAAGGTCGGGAAGATTGAGATGTTTTGATAGAGGTAGACTTGGGGATGATTCTGCATGGGCTCTGTGATTATTGAAGCGAATACTAAATGGTGTTTCTGTTTGTCCGATGTACTGCAAACAGAAGCA